TTGTGTGTAGTCATAAGTGTATATTTAGGCAGCATGTCTTCATTCAAGCATGTTTGGTTGTATAATCTGGACACATTATGTCGATTTGTTTTTATTTTAATCCCGTCGAATTTAATGATTGACTTCTTAATGTTGATATTAAATTCATTAAGGAAGGCACCATAGTTTTTTTTCTTTTATCTTCCCAACTACTTTCAGCCTCTTCCGAGATCTTCTGAATTGTTAAGACAAAAAATTAATGTAATTAATAGTTGTGAATATTTTGTAACTGTGCATGAAACGCGCTTTGTTATAATGAATTTAAAAATGAACTATTAATGAGATTATGTTTTATCCCTGAGAGATAACTTTAATTTATATAATTGTAATTTTTTTATAATTACAATTTAAGTATTTTAAAAACATTGCTAATATAGACATTTTAAAACATTATTGCTACACCCATAACAAATCTTATTTAGTGTTGGTTGTAATTTTCTTATATAGAGGACCTCAAGATATTTGATGTTTTTGTCTTTTATTTTCATGGTGGAGTATACTTGCATTGCCAATTAATATTCTTTTGTGTGAAAATTTAAAAGGATTAATTAGATAGAAAGACAGTGAAATATTGGTACACGCGATTTATTATGATATACACAGTTTACAATTTTGTAACTGCTCGCGGGTTATCCTGGTTTGTCTCGCGGCCGTATTTTTTGCAAGCCTGTTTTACGTTCACAAATCTAGATATGTGTTTTCTATACTTATATTTTTACTAACGTTCACCCAATACAAGACCCAAGAGCCACTCGAGGTAGAAGGATACTGAATTATTAGCGTTAAGAGTAAGAAGTAAAAAGTGCAGTTTATGAGTATATGTGGAAAAGATGATGTTTAACTCTTGACTTGAAGAGGTTTTGACGTGAAGATTTTAGTGGCCGGGAAAGCATCCTCTCTGGAGTCTGTTCCATAAAGTAGCAGTTCTTGGGAAAAATGGCGTTCTCATTTCGAGGGTAAACGCTCTGATAGATATTCTTTTTCTTTTTTCGTTTTTATTAGTCATCATTTTGTTCAGTACATTTCTTCCTTGTAACACTGTTCGGGATTACGCCACCAAAATTCTTGGAAAAAATTATTCAATGCGCCTAAAAGAAAATAGCAAGCCAAAATCAAAAAAATTAAATATATATTTTTTTAATTACTAAAAGTTGCGGTAAATATAGTGATTTCCCAAGGGTAGCTTAGATGGAGCACTAGGCCGAAAGTAGGAAGCACCCAGTGTGAATCGAACTCACTACTCGGTCGTAATTGTTCTAGCGAGACACGCTTACTAACCATTACACTGCCTCTAGGTGCCCAATTTGCGGTAAATATATGTAGTTTGAAATTCCGAAATCAAAGACTGATCGTAATTTTGAAAAAAAATTCTAGTGCAGCATAAATCCTTGTCACTCGGATCTGAGAATTCGTCGTAATGGAAAGCAAGCAAAAATAAAATTAATCAAATATGAGATAAAAATTTGTATTCAAAGTATATAAAAAATAGTATATTATCATATACTATTTTTTATACAACCGAGGAAGGTTAGAACTCACCAGACAACATAACTGAGCAAAATTCCCACTCGTTCATAAAAACGCCCTTTCAGTGGGGTTTTAGCATTAAGACAAACTAAAGTAGAAGAGAAAAATCATGAAGAGTTACATCAAAAATAGATTAATACGAGAAAAAAAAATCTTAAATAGAATCCAAAAGTGAATAATGGAAACATTGTTTGTTTCGTTTTTTACGTCTTATCAACCCTTTGCAAGTTATTTAAAGCCAGAAATATTTTCAGATTGTAGAAATTCTTTTATAATAATAGTTTAGTGATACAAGTTGTAATAATTAACCCATAGCTGGGGGGAGAAGAGATGGATGCATAACTAATCAGAATCTGATAAACAAGAAATTATAATGTGGATATAAAATGGGTGATCAATTCTATATTACAAGACATACATACTGATCCCTCAATTTGTGATCATAGTAGTTTCTATATATTTATATTCCAGAGAATGTAAATAAATCTAAATGACATGCCTATAATAAAATATAGGTGGACATAAAGTGGATGATCAATTCTATATTACAATTAATACATAAACAGATCGCATACTTTTTGGCCAATGTAGTTTATATACTTTTATATTCCAGAGAATATAAATACATCTAAAAGACATGCCTACAAGAAATTATAACGTAGATATAAAATGGATGATCAATTCTATATTATAATCAATACATAAACTGAACTCTCAATTTATGGCCACTGTAGTTTCTATACATTAATATTGCAGAGAATGTAAATAAATCTAAAAGACATGCCTACAAGAACTTATAATGTGGATATAAAATGGGTGATCAATTCTATATTACAATCAATACATAAACTGAACTCTCAATTTATGGCCACGGTAGTTTCTATACATTAATATTGCAGAGAATGTAAATAAATCTAAAAGACATGCCTACAAGAACTTATAATGTGGATATAAAATGGGTGATCAATTCTATATTACAATCAATACATAAACTGAACTCTCAATTTATGGCCACTGTAGTTTCTATACATTAATATTGCAGAGAATGTAAATAAATCTAAAAGACATGCCTGTATAGCTAATCAGTATTTCATTGGTTGATTGATTCGTTTTCTACTATCTAATGATACAAGTCTTACTAATTAACCCGTTGCTGCGGGCAGAAGAGGTGCATTCATGCTTAATCAGAATGTGATAAACGAGAAGTTATAATGTGGATAATAAGTTATAAATTATATGTCGATATATATATATATATATATATATATATATATATATATATATATATATATATATATATATATATATATCGATCCTTTGCAGGTTATTTAAAGCCAGGAAATATTTTTGAGAGATAATAATGATTTAGTGATACAAGTTTTACTAATTAATCCATACCTGGAGAGGGAAACGATTGAGTCATACCTTTCCCAAGAGTATTTGCACGTAAGTGACTGTAACGAACCCGACTGGAATTCGAACTCGGCTCTCCGTTTAACAATTCCGAGCCGCCTGCACATCGAAACTGACCAGGCTTGACGTTATTTGACTTAATTGATCGTACGGGAACTGGTATTTCAACGTGATGTAGAAACAAAACTAGCAATGGTCGAACGTTGTTTTAACTTAGCAAGGTCGAGTAAAGGCAGTATAAGTGAAATTTGTTCAATCTTCCTCCTGTCCGTTCATGGGTTAATGCTTATTTAGATAACATGTAAGTCGATTAATCAAAATTAAGTTTTTTTTATTTCAAACTGCTAATTCTCCGTTGAATTACAGAAAGGGTCACATTCTGCGTGTTGGCCTCATGTCAACATTAGGGCCATCTGGATTTCAGACAAAGAAAAAAATTTAGGAACTTGGGATTAATTGCAAGAAATTAGTCGTATATCGATACCAGGATAAAGACAGAATGTCTATTTAATGAACTCGCGTAGAATGATAAAAGAGAAGATCCAGTCTAAAGATTCCGTATTCTATGAAAGAACGAACACACAGATACACCTTAGAATTGTATCCGCGTAATATGCTACAAGACTCTGCACAGTAAGCTTTTATTACCTGCTTCCTATATCCTTACAATAAGCAAAACAGTGTTGAACGCTAAACAGGTGTTGGGATAATTATTGAATACGCACAGTAATCGATGATATTACGTTTTCATCACGAAAAGCAGACACTCAAAAATTATTTGTTACACTATAAATCCACGTACACACCACAAACTAAACCATCTAACAATTTGTGAGCTTTAAGACTAAACAATCAGCACTATCGATTAATGGTTTGAGAATCGATAATCGCGGTTTCGCGCAGGATCGTAAAAATATATTGATTGAAATAAAAAAAATAAAAGGATTCGTCTTAATAAATGACTGGATATTTATGCAGTTCTAAAACATATCAAACATTTTGTTATCGTGTTGCTATAATTTTTTTATTAAATATGACCACAAACCTTCCAAATATCGATTTTCATACAAACGAGCTACTATCTTGCACATTAAAAAAAATCATTTAATTAAAAGTTCATCATCTTCATTATCATCCCCATGACTCGGTGTGGCCGTAGTGTCGTTGCCTTGCGGAACAACTACCTCTCTGCTTGAGGTTCACCGTATACAAGGCCCTGGCGTCACTCGAGGTAGAGTGTTACAGAGTAAGAGACACAGTTTACGCGGATATGGGGGAAGATAACGGTTGACTCTAGACTTGAACAGGTTAAGATTGTAGCGACTGGGGAAGCATCCTCTTGGGAGTCGGTTCCACAAGGCAGCGGTTCGTGAAAAGAAGCTGCTCGAGTAGAACTTACATCTCAACAGGAAGGAAATGAGGGTGGTTCGCTACAATGGGCGTGGCATGGCGGGTCTCAGTCGTGATGGTTACGACTTTATACATATAACATTGTGAATAAAGACAAAAAAAATTATCTTAGCCGACACGCTTCGTCATAAGATAATTTTTCCTTTTGTTTTTATTTATATTGTTCTTATGCAGATAAATTCTATCTTAAATTTTTACACATTGTGAAGCTTTTATGCGTTCACAGACAGGTATATATATATATATATATATATATATATATATATATATATATATATATATATATATAAGCAAATATATGGATATAGATCCGACAGTATGAAGAAAAATATACGGAAAAAACAAACAAAATTCCTAATATGCAATTATGCTGTTTTAATGTTAATATAATGTCAACGTCGGACGTTTCGGTCTAGTAGACCTTCTTCATGACATATTCATAAAACATAATTAACATTAGACTATATTTAATTCAACATGAAAAGACGATGGACATAAGAGTAAGACTAATCAAAACAGATAACATTAAATATAGAAATAATATCTTGGTCATCACTTTTTTATATATATAAAATATAAGGAGCATACGGGGATATTTACTATCAACATACATTCCAACTGAGATATATAGATAGATAGATAGATAGATAGATAGATAGATAGATAGACAACAGACCGGGATAGATACATAGATAGAGAGAAACAATTGACTGAGATAGATAGATAGATAGAGAGAGAGAGAGAGAGAGAGAGAGAGAGAGAGAGAGAGAGAGAGATATAGATAGATGACAACAGACCGGGATAGATATATAGATAGAAAGAAACAATAGACAGATATATAGAGAGAAACAATAGATAGATAGATAGATAGATAGATAGATAGATAGATAGATATATTTATTTCTCGAGAATGATATTTTCTTTTTGTTTTTTGAGATTTTCCATCTGAGAGAGAGTAATTAGCAAAGAGTAAATACTTGAGACACTGGATGTCAAAAGAAAGGCGCAAAAAGGAACCTGAAAAAAAGATTTTTTTTAAAAGTTTCCATAAGAAAAGGAGTTAAAAAATAACGAGACATAAGGAAATGAAGTAAAAACTGAATCATAAGGAAAGGAATTTTACAGAAAAGGAGACACGAGACAAGAAAATTAATTTTGACAAAAAAAACATGAGAAAAGGAATTCTAAAAAAAGGAACCAAAAACATCGATTTAATAAAAGAATCCATTAGAAAAGGAATTTAAAATAGGAGCCATGAGACAGGGAATTTAAAAAAGGAGCCACAAATTGGAAATTTAAAATGGAGCTACTGATAGTGAATTTAAAAAAGGAGCCACAAATAGAGAATTTAAAATGGAGCCAAAAGACAGTGAATATTTAAAAAGTCACAAATAGGGAATTTAAAATGGAGCCATAAGACAGTGAATATTTAAAAAGTCACAAATAGAGAATTTAAAATGGAGCCATAGGACAGTGAATTTTAAAAAGAAGCCACAAATAGAGAATTTAAAATGGAGCCATAAGACAGTGATTTTAAAAAGGAGCCATAAGAAAGAGAATTTTAGAAAGGAGCCATGAGAAATGGAATTAAAAAAAGAAAAGAAAATGAATTTAAAAAAAAACATTTCTTCAGTATGACAATTACAATTTCTTTTCCTTTTCTTTTTTTAGATTTTCCAAATGAGAGATAGTAACTTCACAAAGAGTAAATGCCTGATTCACTGGATGTCGGGATCAGAAGAGGCAATTGAGTAAGTGTTTTTGTTTTTTCAGGGGTTTTGTCTGTTTTTCCATATTTCATATGATCTGCAAGAAACAGAAGAGAACTGTAGAAGATGAAATCAAAAAACAGATATTGTCATGCAATACAAAACTAACGAAAATGCTCCACAATTGTCGGCCATTGTGCATTCATATGGTAAACCTAATGATAATACTAGCGTTTTCCTTATAAGAAAACATTCGGCATTCAGTGACCAGATCTTTCTCTTAAAACAATTATTTAGGAAAACGGATTTCTCAAGTCCAGTAGCTCTTTCCATTATTTATGACGGTTACCTTCCTAACCTTTTGTTTGAAGTAGTGTGGAACATCAATATTTTGATTATGTCGTTATTCTTTATGTGATATGGATTTTAGTTGTTGGATCCTATCAGGTGTTACCACCCTGTGTCCGGGTCTATCTGGGAACAACAGCAATTAAAAGATGGTTCCACGCTCCTCAATACTTCCTGATCAGAGGCCTTGCTGCCGGATGCTTTTTATCGTTATATCCAGGACTGATTTTTAAAGTAGGTAATTTTTACGCGACTATTCCTTCAATGGTTGATTTTACTATAATTGTGCGAGGTCTCTCAGGAAGAGAAAGGCACAAATTTCTTTTTTACAAATAATGGCGGTTGTGAAAACTTTCTTTTAATAAGAGGCGTTGCGATTCAAATACTATCCGAAGGTCATTTCGACAAAGACAGGAGAAACGAAACCTGAACAGTGACAATTGAATTTTCTTTTAGAAAGAAAGAAAAATAGTTTATTTCACGATTTTGTTGAATAATAAAGTTATATGCTTATCAATAGTATCAGATTTCTACTTTTGCATCAATGCACAGTGCTATTTTGACTTTTTCAAGTCATAAAACATTTTTCTGGGGAACAAAGAAGTCTGAAATATAAACTTCCTATTACCTAACGCTTATTCATTTTTTTATTTGCAACATCAAATATACTTAGAGGTTTGCCTCCCTCTGCTTTTTCTATAAATACTTTCATGATAATTGCTCAGATGGGCTCTTCTCTATGAATTGTATATATGGGGACTAGTTAGGACTTTCATAGAGACATGCGGTATTATGGTGAATGTAGTAAGAAAGGTAAGTGTTCTAACCTAGGGTAGGTTATTGAATAGAATAATCAAACGAAGGTTGGTAATGAACGAAAATACTTAGGACAAGAACAACACATATAAGATTCACCAGCGGTGAGTAGATGATGTAGCAACTGCTAGAAGTGAATCAACTGAATTCCACAATGAATATCCAACCGCTGGATATCTACCAACCGCCCCACGTGGTCATATGTGGCACAAAGCCGAATTTAATGTCGGGTATCCGAGCCCGTAGGCTCGGCCAAAAATTCCCCGTAGACTCCGTATAAAACGATCGGGTAGCTAGACGAGATCTGCCCTTCGACATCTCGTCTCGTTTAGGGATCCTCTCTGCCCGGATACAGAGAGTTTGACCAGCACAACTGGGGACGAATCTCCAACTGCAGGATATCTACCAACCGCCCCAAGCGGTCAGATATGGCACAAGGCCGAATTTAATGCGGGGTAACCAGCCCGTAGGCACGGCCAAAAATTCCCCATGGATCCCGTATAAAACGGGATCGGGTAGCTGTTTCCCGAGACGAGACTCTGCCCTTCAACATAGCCTCGTCTGGGGATCCTCTCTGCTCGAAGACAGAGAGTTTGACCAGTACAGCTGGAGACGAATCTCCAACTGCAGACCAACATACAGTATTTACTACTGTATTTATGTGAATGGATCCATACCCATTATCGTCCGTAGGTATGCTACAATAATAAGTAAGAATGCGTTGTTTAGGTTTAAGGAATATTGTGGTATGTTTGGGTGTGTTTATGGCTAGCTAAGTTTAATATTAAGACGAATGAAAACCGTCCTTTTCCCAAAGCCCCATTTTGGCCTTGTGCCATATTTTGTATCATTGTGCAAATAAATATCGCTCTTCTCTAGGGGACCTGGAGTCTTTGAATCGGTGAGAAATAAGTTCCACTCGAGCAGTTTCTTCCCGCGAATCACTCAAAATCAACTCTCAAGAGGAAATTTTCCCGATCGCTACAAATTTAACATGTTCAAGTTTAAGGTTAACTGTTATCTTCCTCACCTCTCCGCATCAACTTACTCCGTAACCCTCACCCCTTGAACAGGGTGAACCTCACTGTAAACTGTAAAAAAAGAAAAAAAAGAAATGTGTAAGACATAGATGTGTCTTCTCACCGGACTTATTCAGACTATACAATGTGGCGATTCTGAGAGAATTAAAAGTTCTACCAAGATTCATGATTGTTAGCCACAACCATAACAACAATATATATGCAGAGGACATAGTGTTGATAGATAATACAGAAATGAAACTCCAAGAACTCCTGTAGAAGTTAATAAAAGAAAGCAATAAGAAAAGACTAAACATCACTTGCGAAAAAAAAACAGGATACATGGTTGTCAGCAAAACGAAAAACTCTGCGTGCTCAAATTCCTAATTGGAGAGAGCAAAATCAAACAAGTACAACAATTGAAATATCTAACAAATGTTTTACATTTGTCTTTGTTCAACTACAAGAGAGATCACCTCTGTTTTATACTGCAACTATGCTGAGTGGACCTTAGTTACAGTTTATGGGAGAGATCTCGTAATCTGATGTGATCAGCAATTTGAACAATGCCAGTACGCTCAAAACCCAGGCCACAATGATGTGACTTCGTAGATACTACGTACCTAGGTTTTAGCACATCGGATCATCAGGATGAACTGGGCGGTTCACCTTGATGATCCCATGTGGTAAAACCTAGGTAGTACCTGGCTCATTAGGATTTATATATTTTACTTTTGCTCTACCATTCTTGGTTTTAACTTATTACTCGCTGTTTTTTTTTTTATTTCTTTGTACCAGAAATTTAAGGTAATGGACGATTCGCCCTGTTCACAAATTTTTTCCTCGTGTGCCAATTTTTTTAAAGTTGTGCTATCCAGGTTATTTCCACCCATAGAGTTTAGATAGATTTACATTATATATATATATATATATATATATATATATATATATATATATATATATGCCTTATTGAATAAATTACAAGCATTATGTCTGCTTATTTTTATCATAATCCTTTCATATTCACGAATATTTTTCGTATATTACAATTAAATAAGGCAAGAAATGCACTCTAACAGTGAGAATCATTTTTATTCACGTTCTAATGAACGCTAAAGCATAACTGTCAGCCATAGCATTTAAACGCAAAAGGAAAAAAAAAAAAAATCCAGTAATGGACAGCTACACATGTTTTTTTTTACTTACCAATTGCACCTGTGATGATGATCTCAGAAAGAGATGGAAACGCAAGGACGCACACACACACACACACACACACACACACACACATGCAGTCTATATTCATTCAAACGTGTTTCATTGAATAATATACACATATTGTCTCTACTTATTTATATAATGATCCTTTTCCAGTTTTTTAATCAGTTTCTAGAATATGAAATTCATTAGGGAAGGCGACGTAATTTTTGTTAACGCAAGTATTTTCGATATTTTCCAAGATCATCTTCTGTGTTAAATAACAAAAACAAACTTATTGTCTCCGTGGATCGATCGGTTAAGGCACGTCTACAGGTTCGATCCCTGTCGGAGGACGAATATTTTCTATGAAAATTTCTCGGACATTCAGGCCGGTAAATGTTATTAATACTGTTTATTATAAAAAACAGAACATTTACTTAAATATTTGTATCTATAAAAAGAATGTATAAACATAAAAATGTTTTAAAATAATTGTCGGACTTTGTCCATGTCCATTTCATAATATATATATATATATATATATATATATATATATGTCTGAGGATCGCTAAAGCGTGAAACCCAGGGTCACAAACTCACATCTATCTAAATATGTTAGCTCTATCTCTGATATTGAGCGCTTTCTAATAAGTACCATGCATATAATATATAAATAATTATACATATATATTTATTTATTTTATATATTTATATTTTCACACACACACACACACACACACACACACACACACACACATATATATATATATATATATATATATATATATATATATATAGTGTAGTGGGCAGCAGATCCTTATTTAAACATATATTATTAAATATAACAGACAATGAATGTCTATTATGTCTGATCATGAGCCATTCTAATGTTCGAGTGTTTGCTTTAATTTCTGGTGAAAATAAAGACAAAAATTTTCTCCAACAAATGTAAAAAAAATGAGGTCACACATTATGAAATGGACAAAGTCCGACAACTATTTTAAGACATTTTTA